CTGTCACCTTGACCTTAAGCCAAATTTTTCATGATGGCATTTTCTTGTCAACCCATCCCTCAGCCAAATATTTCCATAACATTATACTCAGGTCATCTGCCCTCTGCCAAATTTTTTCATGTCGTGATGGTCATGTCTCTCAATGGGGTCAAATGAGATAAAATAATAATAGTAAATATCCATAATAGCAATAGAATGACTACTACAATAACAACTACTGCTACTACTATACTATTATACTACTGCTATACTACCACTATAATATTGTCACTACCAGTGCTATTACTACTACTAATAGTAATAATGATAATGATAATATCTGCAATAAAAACTTCAAAGAATGTAGGTGATAATGAAAAAAAAAGAAAAAAAAAAGTGATTACAGTCATGATAAAGACAAATAACAGTAGAAAGAAAAATATGTAATGGTTAATGATTAAAGATGAAAACAAAGAAATAACTAAACATCAGAAGTCATATAGCACTATGGTAAAGTATTGTGGTGATTAACCCAACCACCACGGATTTATATTTTGTCCCCTGTAATTTTTTTGTGAATTGTGTTATACACATAAAGCTCCACATGTCCTCAGCTGGCAAGGAGTCTATCAGTAGGCCCTTGTGACCGATCCTGATTTCCCCATTCCTTAAATTGGCAGGAAATTGTGTTTTTCTTTTTAATACAATTGATATCGATACATTTATTATTGTTATTGCTGTTACGATTATTAAATTATTTAAATCTTGGTAACATTTATGACAATGAAATAATACAAAGACTTTTTCCAAAAGTCATGGAAAATGGTGAACAGGCAAGATAGGTAGGACTAATAACTGACTACTTGGTTATTAAGCACTTGTAGAGCCATCTATGTGTAAATATAATAAATAAACTTATATTACAGTGACCATGGTATGTATTCTTGCCATCCATGCCAGTTCAGTTAAGATAACTGAACAGAAGGGGATGAAGAAAAGAATTAAAAGGAGATGGAGAGAAGAAAAGACCATGCAAAGTTTGGGGGAGGGCTGAGGGCCAAGGCAGGGGTAATCTATATTGGCCCTTAATCGCTGTCTCCTAAGGCCCCCATGATAACAGTGAGTAAGGGATTGGGTGGGAAGAAAATACTTGACCGTGATGATAATGATTACAGATGAATTCCAAGGGAATGTCCCTCTTTTTATCTTTTATTCTGTATAGCAGGTTTTCTGTTATTGTATCAACATAATAGTTTTCTTTTTTTCAGACTATGATGCTGCTGGTAATAATATTAGTTATCTTCTAAGTTTCAGTATCAGTTAGTAAACCCCTAAAAGCCCTAACTCCTATTTGCCACAATTTTAGGAAGTTGCATTTTCTACTTAATAATATTTGCCACAATTATGGGATCTTTTATGCATTGTGAAAAGCAGATGGACTCTATTCCTGACTCTTTTTCACTGTAAATTAGCTATGAGTAGTGTCAACAAATAAACTCCCATCAATAGCATCCTCATACTTCTATTCCCCTTAGAGACCCTACTCTTCCAGAGCTCAGTTGGACAGTTGTGATTCTTGCCTTCTTTTTGGTATTTTGGTATGAATGGAATAATGTGAATGTGAAATGATAATGTATGGAATATTTCATCCATGTGAACCCTCAGTCTTTTCTTCAGCCCAATTTCCCCTCTATACAAACTTATGCATTATACAGCCAACTCCAATAAGCCACTGAATAGGTTAATTAAAATGTATAGATCTTTCATTGAAAACACTTTTCAAAAATACTACACTTTTATTCTAGATACTTCACATACAAATTATCCATTTCACATTGTAAGTCATACAATCTTTTTCTCCACAAACCATAAATTTCTGCATCAAAAGTTACATCTCCCTTTCCTGCTAAAATGGCTTCCCTATCTTCTAAATATCTTTTGCTATTAAACTGACCATCCTTTAGAGTTTCTTCTGTCCCTTTCCCCTTTCCCTTAGGGCTATTCTTCAGCCTTACATTTTCTATGATCATAGGATCTTCATCCTCTTTTTTCTTTTTATGGGCTTTTGCATGAGTTTCATAACCCTCAATCACTGAAGATGTGACTTCCTTCATTTTGGCCAACAGTTGGTGTCGAATCTTCTCTGTCTGGGAATTGCTATCTTTCACGTTGACTCCAGGAGGCTGTATGTTTACATCTGAGGGGAGCACAGCTAGCACTGAATGAACCACTAGCAATGCCTGGTTATCATCTCTGTGAATGAAAAATACAATCCTGAATCAATACAATACACTTAGTAACAATAATAATAATAATAATTGGTTTGTTGAATCTCATGCAGCCAGGGGCTGAAAATATACATTAAGATAAGCTGCACTTATCTAAATGTTTTATTTCAGTGTTTTTTTTTTTTTTTTTTTTTTTTTTTTGTAAAAAATGGAGTACCTGGAATAACATAAACAATGTGAAATATATAAAATAGATAAACCACATTAAATTTAAGATGATGTCTCACTTGGTGTAGAGTGTGATGTTCACTTTGTGTGCATCCTGAGGCAGGTATGAGAAAACAGCAAGTCTTAAAGGATGGCATTCAGCTGGGTAGAAGCAGTACATACCAGTGACACCACCAACCTGAAATGGAAGTAAGAAATACATTCTCTTTGCCATGATTGAGGAAGGTTTGTCAAAAACTGATGGGCATTTCCCCATGACTTTTTTTTAAATATAAATGAACTGTATTTTTGTCTACTAATATTTTTAGTGCTGTTTACCTAGTTTCCTTCAGCTAAACTAATAATATCACCCCCATACCCTTACTCACCTTACAGAATCTCCTCTCTCTAAGTCAATCACACAGTCATGTACACCCATCTTTCTTCTTGTGAATGGAATGTAGCGAGTGTAAAGTTGTAATTGTAAGAGTTACATCATACTACATCCTGTCCTTTTACTATTTATGCATCTAAATACTTATAATGTCAACATATTTTTTAAAACCAAAAATATGATTTTATGCATCTTACTTAAATATTTATAGTCATCTCTCCTCATATTCATTCTTATGTGATAGGTAACTGTGATAACTCATTGTATTTGAGACATGACAATGAGATAATCATTTACTTGTCTGTAAAATCTAGATCCATAAGTGCCTATAACCAAAAATTGAAGGTTGGCAATTCTTAGGGGTGGGGGGATCTTTGTTTAAATTTGTTTATGATTATTATTATATATAACTTAATTTTTGTAAACTGCCATATTATCTATTCTACCCCTTAACATATTGATGCCAGGACATCCCACTATCCACTGTACTTGTTCTGTGAATTTTGTTTACACATAGGTTAAAGGTAGTATATTTTTGACCAGTGTCTTTCCTTACAATAAACTAATGTAAATTTCTGCAGTATGAAATTAACCCATTGTTGACAGGATGGGATGAATACATGACATGTCTAATGTGTCTTTTTATCAATTGACTGTCTTTACACACAGATGATCCACATGTACTTAGGTCACCTGTTAATTGTTTCCTTGATTTTTTTAGATTCTTTTTTTCATATTTTATTGTTATTAGTCGTGTTAATGACATTGTAATAATCATATTGTCAACAACAATAATACCATCAATATTTTTTTTTATGGAAAAAAATTGAGGAAAGGGAAATCAGCTGAGGACATGTAGGTTTACTAACTGGTTTCTTGGTGGCTGAACACTTCTGGAGTCATCTATGTGCAAGCAAAATTCACAAAAGAAAACAATATTAGACAGTGTGATTACCTGGCTCTTCAAACTACAATTGTCAATAATGAAATGAGGATTTCCTACAAATATGGACAAAATATGAACAGTCTGTCCCCAAGTAAAATGCTTTCATCCATCTTCTAAAGCTATAATCTGTATTTCTTATAACAATGGAACTATCCCTGTCTGAACTGTGGAGAAATCTAATTGCAATAGTTGCTGCTACTCTACTACTGTTGGTAAAGCACAACATAACTGCCAATTTTCTATGAAAAAAGGATTTTTCTTTTCAGTTTCACAAAACTAAAAGATATATTAACATCTGTATTTCTATAATGAGAACAAAAAGCATTATTTTGTTCTTTACTCTCCAGGTAAATCTCTCTTTAGCATGAAAAAAACAAGGAGGAAATGGAGATAGAAAAATATAATGCTCATACCAAATCTTTCAATAGTTTACCTAAAAACCAGTTGCATAGAATCACATAGCAAATAAAACCTGTGTAGCAGCATGACCCCGCAACCTGAAGCTCAGCATACTTTCCCAGGTTGGGTCATGCTAGGTCCGCCGCCGCTGGCTGCGCTCATTGGCCAGCGGGCTCCCCTCGTTCCCTGTGTGCTTACACAGCGCTAGTGTACTTAAGCCGCGGAGCTGTCAGCGAGATCAGCAACCCCCGATCCTCCAGACTGACCGACTACAGCAACGGCACTCAAGGACTGCCAAGTCCTTAACCGACTGGGGAGCCAGCCGGCTCCCCCGTAGAACTCCAACTACAGTCTCCAATACCCAGCCATACCCGTGGGCACTCACACCCACACAGTCACTCCATAAAGAGATAAGACACCAGACTAAACATAGTAGATGGCAACCTAACCATTTACTATACCTGGACACCTGCAAGTATGTTCATGACCTGTATACAATATCTAGAGTTTCAATCAAGTAAATATACATTTGCTACTGAAGCCTATAATTGGCTACTGCCTAATCTTTTGGATATGTTCAAATCCTTGATGATTAATTACTCGCACTACCACAACCTTGACTGTCTAAACTGAAATACAAAAGTTTGCAATAAAGTTATGAAGCCCTTTTACAAACTAAACACATACAGAAATCTAAACTATACAATGAAAAACAAAACATACTGGAAACTAACCTTCACAACTGTGTAATTATTTGAAAGTTTGGTTATTAAATTGGAGAGTGGTGAAACAATACTGGTTATGGTAATGGTGTTACATCTGCTTCCTCCTACCAGTGCTACAATGCTATAAGGCACACCTGTGTAAAAGCAAGTTTCATTATTATTATTATTATTACTATTATTATTATTATTATCACCAATATCATTTTTATTATCATTACTATCAATATTATCATTATCATTACTACCATTCTCTCAGTTTACAATCATTATTCTTACTAATATCAACTCGCAAAAATCTTATATATGACCTTCAAATGTGCTGGAAATGACTGGTAGTGATTCAGGAAATGCACCCAAAAATTTAATTCCATGTCAGGGTACCGTTCCTCAAAACTATTACTTTTTGCCCATTAATGAAAGATGAAAGTAATTCTGTAGAAGTGATAAAACAGAATATTGGTACATTTGAATTCATACCATCTCTTACCACATAGTTATACAAAAACAAAATCAAATACCTCCTTTGACATTTTCTGGATCAACTGTTACCATATGAGCCTGAAGTTCATGTGCATGTATTGTCACAGGTTCAAAGGCTATTTGGTAGTCTTGCGATGATTCATCAGGTTGCACAACTTGCTGGGTAGCCTCCATAGCTAAAGGCTTGCAAGAATATGATATTATCCCTGAACAACTCACACTCATGCCCTCACTAAAACTTGGAATGTTGCATATCCCTGTAATAAAGAAAAACGTCCATGATTTAATATGTCAATGTCTGTTCCAACAGGTCTATGTACACCTAAAATTACTTAAAAGACAATTTGAAAACCAGATTGTTAGTTTTCTTTGTTTGTTGTTACCCTCTCATCTCTCAAGCTGATAATCTGCAGCATAATTGAAATTCTGAAATTTGATCCACAGTTCCATATATAAACCCCTACCCTTTTTAGATATTTTATTTATATTACACTAACTTGAAAGGGAAAAAGGAAGAAGCAAAACATCTGAATGCTGTCTGGAAAAATATGATGAAAATGAACACCTTCACAGCAAAAGAAATAAATTTGATAAACGTGAATTAAATCTGACATTACAAGTAAATATGTTGCATTATAAACTCCCCTCAAATACAAAATATAACTAATATAAATGTGAATATAAACTGAGGTGACTGAAAAGCCAAGACTGATAGTAATTCACAAGGGATTTAGGACTATAACCCTAATGAATGTTAACTCATTGACAACAGATGGCATAACTGGATGCCATGTCAACCTCATTTCTTATTCATTAAGTGGTCTTGACTTCTCATATTTTTATCTTTGTACAACTAATAATACCAATTTTCCCCTCCAAACTGGCAGTTCCCCCTAATGGTTTAGAAAATGAAAATTTACCAATATGGAAAAAGTGAAAAATAAGCAATTAAATCAGTACTGACAGAGCATCAGTAACTGGACTGATGCTTAACAATGTCATCCTGAAAGGGTGGATGAGTGAGGATAACAGAAAGGTCTGGCTGTTATGTGGGTATGGTACTAGGAATACTGTATATGTGCTTTGGGTTCTAATTTCTTACACATTTTGGGAATATTAAACAACATTCAAGGGCATACTTATGTTGCTTGAAATACTATTCTGAGAGAAATAAAAATCAATGAAAAAAATATTTTCAGAATAAATCCAATTCCATTACTTCTACCACCACTTAATGGTAAATAATAATGAAAATTCAATACATTATATATAAAAAATTAACTCTATTTGGATAGTTACCAAGAATGCAGGCCCTCTTCTTAGGTCTCAGAATTGGGGGATTTAACTTCTCTATTTCAACTCTGGGACCAGTGGCGTCATTATTACTTTCTGATTGTTTTGTCTGTCTCCGTTGTACAGTCTTCCAAATGCTTGTAGTATAAGAAAGGTTTTGTGTCCCTTTTACAACATGCAGACTCAGCTCGGGATTGCACACCAAATTCCTGAGGACAGTGTTTATAAAATAACTAGAGCATATGAAAATAACTCTCATATATCACTATCTGAATAGCTGTTCAATTATTCTACATTAATCTTTCAATGCCATACCTGTCTGCCCTGTTGGTAACATTGATACCAATGACCCATTTATCATGAACTATCTTGTGTCTTACAGAGATAATTTGCATAGGAGACTTCCAAGATCTGGGAGGAGGAATTCTCTCAGGAGGTTTCATGTCAAGGCTACAGCTTCCTACTGTTAATGTCTTCATCAAGTTCTGTAGGGGAACATTAAACAAATTGAATAAAATATTGCAAAAAGTAATGTAACAAATGACTATATATACTCCCTAAGCATCATTATTTAGGAATATAAAATGAACTTTCCTTCAACAAAAAACAATCATGGCAGCAAAACAAGATGCTATCAAGCCACTACCAACTAGTCTTACCTTCAGTTCTGCTGCTGGTGCACCCTCAAGCTTTGACTGGAGAACTCGTATCTTCTGGCTTATGTAGGTCTCCTTTATTCTTCTTTCTGAATTCAGTCTTTCCACGTGGCGGATGCCGCCCTAAATTGAAGATTGTGATCAGTTTGCTAATTTTCTTATGGATAGCATGGAGTTTTTCATTTCACTGTATGATAGTTATGAAGATAAGGGTGAGAAAGAGAACCAGAAGGAATAGGAGAAGATAGAGGAGGAGGAACAAGAAGAAGAGTCTATAGAAGAGGGGATGGGGAGGGGAGGGGAAGGAGGGGTGGAGGAGAAGAAAGAGGAGGAAGAGGAGGGAGAGGAGGAGAGGAGGAGGAGGAAAAGGGAAGAGATGGTGGTAACAGAAGAAAAGGCAGCTACATGAAAAAAACAGAAGAAAATATAAGCAATATATAGTATTTGTCATATAAAATTGCAAAACAGAAGAATGACTTATAATTTTGCTGTACTTACTTTAAGCCTATTAGCCAATGCAACCGCTGCCTCATCTTTACCCCTTTCAGTCTCTTCATTTTCCTTGGAGCCACATAAGGATAATAATTTGTTATTTTCCACTGCACATTCTTCTCCTATGTGGAATGAGTGGAAAAAAAGAAAAAATCTGATTTTATTGTTGACATCCTGAATACTTTCTGTTTCTGCATTTTTTTCAGACACTTAAAAAAAACACTGCTTTCTTAATTCCAGAAACATAACACAAAACTAACTGACAATTTACCTGAGATGAGTTTTAATGAAAATGTAGGAACTCCTGAACTATCTGGGTCTGAGGAACTGATATCCTCCACATCATCCCATTCATGAAGAATCTGTGGAAAAAAAAAATCATGTAAAAAGACATGAAAATATTAAAGGAACCAAAAAAGGAGACACAAAGGATGTAAATAGTTTTTTTTTATGTCTATATATATTTATCTTTTCCAATCAATTCATACTATATCATCTTTTTCAACAAAGTAACTCTTATTCTGATTTCCATACACTAGTGTCATAACTCATAATCAATTCAGTAGTGGAAGTAATCTTATTAATATACCTTAAGGTCACTATATGATATAAGAACAGCCTTTTGACATCTACGGAGCACAATGACATACAACTGCAATGGTTGAAACTGGTGATGGACCACAATCTGAAAGATAAGGTAGATATGATAATGAAGAAATATTTTATTATGCACAATAGACTTGCACCCATGCTGGCCAGTTACTAAAAAAATGAGATGGTGATAATATCAAACCATACATATTGATGTCTTTGGAGCTGAGTCAAATCAGTTAATTCACAAACTATTTCCTTCACATCCCATTAAATATTACACTAGAGATAATAAAAAAAATCTTTACCTACTTTGACTGCATCCTTCCATGGCAGCTCTGAAAAATGCACTATATGGCCTGCCTGAAGCTCAATTAGATGTCCTCGTGATGTCACAAGGAGTATGTACTTCTTCACCACTTCTGCAAAATATTTTATTAAAATATCAGTGATTTTTTTCCTTTTGGGATCAATATTCATCAGTGAACTTGTACTGAAATAAAAAAAAATGAATGAATTTATCAATATCTTACTAAAATAAAAATAAAAGCTGTGACTTTAACTCACCTTCATCATGAAGTTGATCTAAGGAACTTCCAACTTTGTAATAGGTGGCACTTGCTGAAGTAATTGCTGCAAATTCTGGGGGAATTTCATGAGACAAGTCCTTGTCCATTGCAGCTTTTGTTTGTCATTTAAAGGTTATGGCAAATTGTAGTTTTATGTATTCTTAAATACGTTCTCTAAATCTCACAAAATACTTTTCATCAAATGTTCTCTGGAACACACGTACTACCAACTTACTAAAGTTGATAAAGTTCATATTTTCACTGCAGAAAAAAACTTACAAATTTGGAGTCTGTCCACTATTACTCATTAATGCATAGTATTTACATAAGATAAGGTAAGGGAGATGCAACAGAATGATACAATATCAAATACAAAGGTAATAAAGTGCAATTTTTTCACACAATTAAAAACTTGACTTCAGACAGGATATCAGTCAATAAAATACTCTTTGGCTAATACACATAAAACTCCACATCCTGTTAATGCAATCCATAGATCAACTCAAATCTTTGCATAAAATATCATTCACAGAGCTGGTAAGGCAGTGTTCCTGCTGACTATGGGCTTACAATGTTCAGTTGCTTCAAAATTACTTAAATTTCTTATCTTTAACACACAGCCTCAAGTGGCAGTTTCATATAACTTTATATTTTATTATTTTACATATATCAATAAATAAGCAAATAAATAAATAAGAAGAAAACTAAACAAATTAAGAAGCAAGAAACAATCTTTTACATACACTGGTAAATAATAAGTTATAGTCTGCAGGTGGGCTTTTAACCCTGTTGTTGAAACAACAAAAACATTTGATAGATGACATGAATGAAAGTTATATCAAGAACCTTTGGTCTACTAAGGTTTTACTGACTACATTTTTTCGTCCAAATGCATATCTTACTTTCTTGATAGTGTATGAAACAACAAAGGTTACAAAACCAGCCAATACAAAGTTTTCAGCTAACAAATCAACAAAAGTAAATAGTAATATCTCAAACAAGACAAAAGATACTTCATGGCCGGATAATAAGACACTTTCAAAGGCATGGTTATTGTCCCGGAAGAACAAACACCTATCATCTGGCTCTTGAAACTCAAGATCCAGAAGACTCTCCAAAAATAATTTTTCTTTAACAATATAATTCAAGTCTTTCAATGCATGCTGAAGAAACATGCCAAAGAATCTTTTCATTGTTTCATGTGCTTTGAAACTCTGCTCCATCTCTGCTGATGCCATCCTTCCTCTATTGCTTGGTCTTCGCATACCCACAAATCCATGTACAGGCCGTAATATTGTGTCATACTGTTCTCTGAATTTGTGTGTTATGGCAACTTCAAATATTTGGCATTCACTGGATGGCTCAAGGCCCCGGTGTCCACAAAGGTCTTCTTCCTCCCTCTTTAGTTGCTCATAAAAGGAATGCATGTCTACATCAGCATAACCATGTACAGAACGACCATGAATATAATACCCATAAACAGTATGTTTCAGTATAAAAATACTAATATTTGCTATGGAACACAAGTCAACAAATTGCTGGATCTTATTCTCCACACACCGCTCATAAAAAACTGTTTTGAAAAACCACTGTACAACAGCAATAACAACAAAAACAGTGGTACTAATAGCAAATCTACATACATAACTTTGTGGAGGGTTATACTCTGTATCACTCTTTTGGAAGTTACTTCTTGGATCTGCACTTGAGAGATTTTCAAAGCCAATTACATTCAGGAATAACAGAGTAAAGAATAACTGATATCCAACATTTATTTTCCTGTGAGTCTGAAGCTCATTCCACTCATTTGTAATAAAATATGTCCTCCATATACTAATTGGCTGTTCTGATTTTGATTTATCTTCCTCATCAAGACTATTTGATAACTGAGGATGTGGGAGGGAATTCTTTGCTCTTGGCTGCTCCCAGTCAATGATGAACATATCAAGTGTCACTTGGACATATAAGATCTGAATGATTTGTGCCAACTTCAAGAAACAAGCAGCAATTAAATATTGCTTGATGAGCCCCTCTTGAGAGTCAGTTAACAAAAACAAGTACACAACATCTTGCCGCTTAAAGAATATAGTCCAATATAGGCAAGAAAAGAACATGACCACAAAGAAAACATTAGCAAGATTTCCACAGGTTGTGAGAATGAGATGAAAAATGGTTGGGAGATCAATACTAAGTTTCCCACACCTACGAGACCAACTCCATGTAGTAATCATTGACCACAGCATTGCAAAGGCACTCATTACACCTATAGAGATAGACAAATCATCTGTGATCTTTGAAAAGTCCATAGTATATAATACCCTAAAACTAGTTTCCACCATTGTGTTCAATTCATATTGGTCGTCACTAACTTCTCCATATGTTATCTTTATTAGTGGTGGAAAAATCAGGCCATGTCCTTCCCCTTCCCTTAGTCTGATAACTATTTCAATGCTCTGAGCATATCTTACTACTTTTGCTCTTTCCATGCTATCTGGTGTGTTTGGGGACAGGCTCTCCCTACCACTTAGATTATCAAACAAAAAAAATCTACGCATGAGTTGCCATTTCTTCTCACTTTGCTGATTTAACTTTTCACCTTTCTCTACATAATTCCTATTCAGAATTGGGACTGCATAAATCATGTGATCCTCTTCATCATAATACTGTATAAACACATCATAAAATACAGTGTCATATTTATCCCATAGATCTCTTACTGACATAGAACAACTTTTGGTAAAAGTTGTTCCAAACTTGACTGCATCATCTAGATCAAAACTAATTAAGGGGCATACTGTTAGTACATCCTCTAAGCGACCATACTGAATTAGGTGCCCTTCTGGTGAATATTTTGCCACAGTGAAATTGAACTTTGAATCAGGATTATTTTCTTTGAAACTATAATGTGTTTTTAATCTGGTCTTTGATAGATACACATTTGCTTCACCTTCCGTATAATATAACCAAGGGACGTGATTTGGAAGGTTAATGAAATTATCTCCAAACTCTCCTCTGTAATACCTACATGCATTATAGTCATCATCAAAAGTATAATGTAAGAGAACACACAAGTTACTCAAAAGCTGGCATGAAGAAAAGTTTTTAGAAAAAGTACAAGCATGAGCTGCCATTCTAAAATTAGTCTCAAAAAAGGAAGACTGAATTTTTTTACCATCTTCATACACAACAGTATAACTGCTTATTTTGTCAGGGATTTGGGCAAGCTCTGTCTGGGGAACACAAATGCCATTAATTTCTACATGGGTTTTGGGACATGAACATCTACCCCCACTAGCAGCATAATATGATGAGTGACAAGGAATGCATATGCCTTGTCCTGGAATGGTCTCTGGTGAACAATCTAAGCACGTCACATTGTCTAAATACGTCCCATTGATTCCTTTGTCTATCATAATTTGAAATGGGTCCGTGCATGGATCACACTGTTTGGTAGTGGCATTATAATAAGATTCTGCCTCACAAGGAATACAGCTAAGCCTGTCATTAGAAGCGACATAAAAGGACGGACATTCTTCACAATTCAATTCGTTTTTCTCATTATAAACAGACTTGAATCCCGGGAGGCAGTTACAGGTATAAGGATCTTCTGTTGTCTGATTTACAGGGCAGGCTACACATTTTAAACTAATATTATCAAAATACTCATTCATTAGACATGATTCTACGTCATTGTACAAGCTAAACTCTAAATTACGAGCAACAACAGCTTGAAATTTGAAGAAGAATGTGAGTATCCCTACTACCTTTGAACGGACCAAC